CAAGCACAAAACTGGTGGCTATGTCCCTTATTTTGTGTATGTGGGGGTCTATACGAATGCACTTGCTCCAGCTGGTGGTACAATATTCGGAGGCGGTATCGCCTCTCTGATCCTCTAGTTTCAACTATGTAATGTGTAGGTAGTGGATAATTTTTTCTTTTAAGTAGTTTTTTCATTAAAATGCGTAATCTTCTTTGCCGTAGTTTCAAATTCAGTTGTTTTGTTTGCTAGTGTTATTAAATGTTATTGGATATAAATTTATTAGATTCCCGTACGCAGGATGTTTCTTTTGTTAGTAAGATATTAATTTGTTTGACATAAAGATGTATTTCCCGAATCCTTTATCTTACTCTCTCAGGACATTGATAAAATGGGTGGAAGAGAAACGTTCACAAAAGAGACATCTGACCCTGAAGACAAGGCTGAAAGTGCTGAAAATGAGGCAGATAAAGATGAGACAGAGGCTGCTGGTCACCATGACAACGAGGAAGCCGGAAACGGCCAAAATGAAGATGGTTCTTCAACTTACAGAGTTGATGAAACTCAGGATGACAGAATTGATGACCTTGACAATAACGAGGCTGCCACAAGTTTAGATAATGGTGCTGCCCCTGGTGATGAGGGCTTGGAATCAGAAACGGACATGACCCACAAGGATGAGCCAACTGTCAATGAACAAGACAAGGCCCACGATGACCTCAAAGATGACACTGTGGTGGTGGAAGATTTGGACAAAGCTGTCACCCCTTCCCAGGAGAAGCCTCCATCACGTCGTGAGCTGTCTTCATCTCGGCGCAGAGACAGTGCTAATCAAACAGAACCTGATGTAAGATGGGTTGTCCTGCAGCGTGAACCCTCCTGTGTGATCCTCAAATAACATAGAAGATCATTCCTGTAGCCTAACACACTTGCACATACAAGTAGAAACTTAAAAATGGGATTTAGTGGTTTCCATGGCACCTTGTTTTCACCTTGACCTTAAAGATTTCACATTCTCAGGACTTTTTGGTGCACATTATACAGATTGATATCCACCACCCTTTCTTATCATCTTCATTCACTTGGTTTGGTTTGACGTCTTGAATAACAGTGATATTGACTTTTTCCTTGTCTACAGATTTCACTGACCTTCACCTTCACCTTAATGACCTTGACCTATAGCTCATAACCTTCCTTACAAGGTCGCACATCCATCTGACTGTTGACTTATCACAGAAGCCTTGATTGGGACTTTGTCTGGGTTTTTATCTACTAACCTAAGTAAAATATAGCAAGGATCCTAAACACTTGTGCTGCTACTATTTTATATTAAATCCAGAAATTTGGCTTTTCTTGAACATAAACATACAGACGTGACATTTTCGTAAAGAAATCAGTTCAACTTTAATCTTTAATTTTCAAGCTTTATGGAGAACTGATTTTGATAATTTACAGTTATGAAGTGTGCTTGTAGACTTAATTTCTCAGGAAGAACAGAACACAGTTTAATGTACAATACCACCGCCATCATCAGTAATTTGATAAAATTTAAAGGCTATGTTAAGACATTGTGTCTGTTACTTGCAACGTTCTACTGCGTGCAGTAGATCATAACTGATGCCGTGCTTTGGATCTATTTCAGGGTTGATAAATTAATGTTCTGCATTTTCTGTCTCTTACAGATTTGTTTCAATTTTTGACACATTTTCAGAATTATTTTCTCTGCACCACAGGCAAACTGCACCTGTATTGTATTGAAATGTCTTGTATTGGGTTGTAAAATAAATTGTTTTTCCTTGTCATGCTGATTTGATGATTACAAACACCTTATTTTCAATGTTCTTCCTCTTTCAGACCAACAGAACAGATCAAACAGATACCAGCAACAACAATGACACTGTCGATGGCGACGGCCAAAATGAGGTAGGTCAACTTTTTTATCATAAACAAGAATTTCTGCCTACGTTTTAGATTACCATCAAGGTTTCTTTGTCACTTAAAAGACATAAATTTTCCATTTTTGCAAAAAAAGAAAAAAAAAAAATTGGTTCAAACTATTCCCCGACTTTGAACAATTTCTAAAACACAATTTGAATTATAAATGACAAAAACGTATGTACAATTGCATTTGTCATGGTGCAAATTGTTTTAGCTTGTGTTATGTTTTTAACATGATGGTTCATATATTATTTTCTGGACACATTTAGATTGAGATATCAATTGTATTTGTTACAGGGAATTTTTTTTTTTACAATTACAGTATAATATTTAGATGTAAAGTACTGAGGAGGGTTGGTACCATGTGAAGATGACTACAGAGCATGTCCTCTTAGATTGCTTTACCACTTTGCCACCATAACACAAAACTTTTCAGTTTTTTTCCATATCTTTATAATTTAACCATCAATTTCTTCCCACACAATACCCTCAGGAGGACCTGGAAGAGGCAGCTATAAAAATACAAGCTGCATTTCGAGGACACCAAGATCGACAGAAAGTACATGAATTGAAAGAACAGAGGAAGGCAGACGAAGATGAGAATGAAATACCAGATATAACTGAAATAACTGATAATGATAATGATAATGAGGTAGACTAACACGTTTCACTTTTGTTTCTTGGATTTCAGTGTCATTTTTGATCCATTTATTTGCATAAAGTGCTTTGTAGAGATTCAGTTTATTTTGATTTCTTGCCCTATGGACTGCATTTATGTCTGCTGTCGATGAGTCCATCCATCTTGCGTTTATATTGATCAATTTTATTTATTATTATTTATTTTTTGCTTCTTTTCGTTTGACAGACATTTCAAGATCTGTTCATTGTTGCCTTTGATGTTTTAAGCATTGCTTATTTCAGTTGAGCTTAGGAGGCTGTGTAGGGGTAGGATTGGCTTCTATTTATATGACACCATTAATTTGACTGCCAGTAGTTATATGTAGTTGCATCAGTGGCTTCGTTCAGTGTTGTGTTTCCTGATACGCTAGCGGATCTGGCATATCAAGATGGCAGATACCCAGATCATTGATTTACCGTTTTATGCCCCCCTTATCTGACACAAATTTATGTAAAGTGCTGTTGGATTTTTGCATGCAGGGTTGCCAGCTTTATTTTCTAGGATGCTTTGGTTGATGGCTTGATGCCCAGTTTCATCAACACTGGATAGGGCAATGTACATTATCTATTATTTAAAATTATTTTCCTCTGGACAGTTATCGTGTGGGTAATTTTTTTTTTTTTTCTAAATGCCAGATTCTTGTTTTTGTCTCTGATATTGCTGTCCAGTGGTTAAAAATGGCCACTATCCACAGGTTTACTGTCCAGAGGGTAAAAATTTAATCCAGTGGATACTGTTATCCACAGGATGGCGCTATCCAGTGTTGATAAAATGGGACCTTATTTCCCTTCTTTGAGAAGATGTGTTTCCTTCCCATGAAAATCAAAATTTTGAAAGATAACTATATTTTGTGTAAAATATTCCAAAAGTTCAGCAGAAATAATGGAGGAGAAGGGATTTCCTGCTTTTAAAGTATTTTTTGATATCATAAATAAATAAATTCTAAAATAAAAGCAGTACATAATCTCAAATCAGTCAAAGAAGATCTACAGTTGGCCATCCAGTGCCTGGTAATGTCCATCCATCTTCTTTTGAAACTTCTTTAATTGGTGTGGGTACAGTAAAATGGCATATTTGAGTGTGCACAGTGTAGGTTTTTGTAGTGCTTGAATTTTGTATAAAGTTCAAGAATGTAGAAGTTTGTTATGCTGCACATTTTTATATGTAAAAAAAGAAATAAATCCAGACCTTCTTTGTAATTGTGCACAACTCAGAGTGTAGCTTTGAAAAGTTAAGAGGTGTAAAGTTTTGTACCATCCACTTGTTGGCTGCATGTTTTCTGTCGCATTATGTGCTTGTCGTGTTCCCCGTTCACGTTTGCTCACTTTCCAAAACAAGGTCCGAGAACTCTCTCCTCCCCCCAAGCAACCCACGCCTAAACCAAAAGAGGACATAGCACAAAAATGGAAGCAGAGATTTAACAATCCTAAATTTAAGGTCAGATAGAAGAAAAACCCTTAGTTTTGGACAAGTTATTATTTTTTATTATTACTACCATTTTTATGCATGTATTTATTTTTTATTCTGCTGTGATTTTATGCTTTTATTATGTTTTGAGAGGATTAAAGTTCTCTCTATGTGATTTCCCACTAGCAAAGTTCAACCATGTCATTAATAAGAGTGAATTTTTTAGTNAGGCCATATTGGAAAATGCTTTGAACAGGTACATAAATGGGTATAATAAATAATACAAAAAACAAGTGTTTTCCATATATTACACATTTATTGTATTTGCAAAGACATATTTGTTCCCAGAATGGTGAGAAATCTTATCCTGTCCACTTATTCAGAATCCTTATTTGTCTAATTTTTCACAGTATGACTCATATTTCTCCAAAAGAGCCATATTTTGCATCCAAACTTCTTAGAGTTGTTGTGAATGATATAATGATTATAGTAAACATCAAAATAATTCCATTGCATATGTTTAAAAACATAATTTGCAATTTTAGGCAACATTTTAGGGAAAATCTGTACAAATGGCCTTTGCATGACCTTTGACTTAAGCCAGTGAACCTTGGTGAATAATTCCTATCTAATTTAAATTCATTTCATTCATTTAACTATGTGTATATTTTACAGTTTTACCTTCATTTATTTTAGCAAAATACTACCTAAATCGAATGACAGCATTTACTTGAAGTGACACAATATAATGGTGGCCATCTTGGAAAAAGCTGTCTTAAAACCTTTTTCTATCACTTAGATTTTTTAGACTTTTTATTTGTTTAAATTTGGATATTAAGCTTTCTAAATTACCTCATAATACGTCTTTAGCTATAAGGTCCTACTGAAAAACAAACTGTTAAAAATAGGTATTATGAAACCTTATGATTACACTTCACTACACTTTTTCAGGTAAAATCTGTACAAATGACCTTTGTCTGACCTTTGACCCCAAGCTAAAAGCCTTTGGTGAATAATTCCTATCAAATGAGTTTTTTTTTTTTTCGTCAAAGTGTTTTTTGTCTGTAAGTCCAGATATACTTCACGGTCTTAACCTCATTTATTCCATTTATTCCAAAAATACTCCCCAAATATAAAGACCCCCCCTTTACCTTTAGTGACATAATATATTGGCGGCCATCTTGAAAAAACTGCCTTAAGAACCACTACTTAGATTATTCTAGATTTTTAATATGTTAAAATTTGGATATTTAGCTTTCTTAAAAACGTCATTACATTTTTTTTTTGCAATTGGTCCTGGGTTAGGCCAAATTTTTCGCTCAGTTTACTAGTCTAAGAGCGCATTCCCTGAGATTTAGGGTGTATACCCAGAGATTTAGATCGATCCAGAGATTAAGGGGTAAATAACTATGGTGCGCGCTCGGCTGACTGCAATTTAGCGTGAACCCCCAGGGAGTTAGGTCGATCTAAATCTAAATCTCTGGATCGATCTAAATCTCTGGGAATGCACCCTTAGATTGATCAAACTAGATCGACCCAACTCCCTGGCTGTTAGCAAGGTTAATTACTCCCTTACAGCTTTTAGTAGGCGGGAAAGACATTTAAGCCGGCTAAGCAGACAGTAATCTAGTGAGACCACCCACATCTAAAATCTGTGGGAAAAGGGGTCTAAGGGCGCATTCCCATAGATTTTAGATCGATCTATCTCCATGGGGAGTCTCACTAGATTACTGTCAGATAATCCGGCTTAAATGTCCGTCCCGCCTACTTCCAGCTGTAAGGGGGTAATTAATTTTCGTGCCCGCTCTGCTGACAGCTATTTAGCGTGAACCCCCAGGGAGTTAGGTCGATCTAGTTGGATCCACCCAATCTTTTTGAAATGGGAAAAAAAGTCAATGAAAAAGGACCACGTTTGGATACGGTGTGGTAAGGGAGGTGGAACCTGGCGGAAATGAAGGTCGCCGATGTGCCCATATCGTTTCTCGATCAAAAAAGCTAAAAAAAAAACATGTAACATTGTGTGTAAAGACCCAGTAAATAATAATAATAATAAGTAAATGAAACACAACAACACCTGTTGCGATGCTATCTTAATTTCATATAAACAGCAATATTGTTTTACATAATTTCAATTCCTAATTTATAATTTAAATAATTTCGAAAGTTAATTTCTTGAGAAAGATCGATTCCCAATGATTTTCTGAATGTCAGTAAAGAATGGAAAAGGGCTGCGTTTTTCATCCTCGTATATCAGAGCTACTGCAGATCAGGATTGAACTCCTGTCGGTCAATCTTGCCGTCCACATTGGCGTCTTTGTCGTCAAACACGACATCCTTCTCGGCCCTTTTCCCGCTCGTGCAAGTACAGGTGACGTCATATTTTTGCGTCAAGAACCACCCACCTGTTTTTTATACTGAACAAATAAAGTAAACATCTTATTTAATTCTTGTGAACATATTACTTTTCAGATATCTACCATATACCTGCTCAGCGATGACCTTATTATTAATATCGATTCTTTGACTGGGTTCCCATGCCAAGATCAATCCATCTGGATCGATCTACTCTAACTCCCTGGATAGTCTCACTAAATTGCTATCAAATAACCGGTGTGAAAGGAATGCATGTCCCCCAAGAACGGAGGTCCTACGGACCTCCGTTCCTGGGAAAACATGTCCTATGGACGTGCGTTCCCTAGGATGTACCGTCCTACCCAGACCTAGATTCCCAGCTGTATTTATACGCAGCTAGGACATGTATTCCTGTCGGACATAATTTCCTTTCACATATACACAGAAACGCAAGTCCTACGTAATTAATGTCCGTACAATAATTATAAACACGAGGCCATAAGCACCGGTAATTTTCGGTCGGCTGGCAGCAGCTTCCACACAGGCTAATCAGTAAGACGGCTGGATGAATGACCAAGAGCATAGAGAAACGTAAGTGAGTTCGAATCCTCAGAAGCGATGTTACATGTACTCTATATGCAAATTTTNACCCCTAATATTACAGGAGAACTGACATATTTGAATTTATATTGTGATATACAGTAGAGATATTTCATTTTCCAGTAAACAGGACTAAGCTACACACGTATGTTTGGTGCAAAAATAAGACCCCATTCCCATAGATTTTAGATCGATCTATCCCTGTGGGGAGTCTCACTAGATTACTGTCAGTTTAGCCGTGTGAAAGGAATGCATGTCCTATGGACGTGCGTTTCCTAGGATGTACTGTCCTACCCGGACCTAGATTCCCAGCTGTATTTATACGCAGCTAGGACATGTATTCCTGTTGGACATAATTTCCTTTCACATATACACAGAAACGCAAGTCCTACATAATTAATGTCCGTACAATAATTATAAACACGGGGCCATAAAGCCCCCTTTACACTGGACGGCGTCCCTTCTGCGTCCAGCAGTTCGGCCCCATTTGAGAGTTAAAGAATTATAATACTTTACGTGCCGACAACTGGCCGACCATTGAGCATTCATTCTGATACCAAATCAATGCTCGTGCCTCCTTATTAAGACCACAGCGATGCCAAATTTCATGGTCGCAGAAAGGACGCAGAAAGGACGCCGTCCAGTGTAAAGGGGGTATAAGCATCGGTAATTTTCGGTCGGCTGGCAGTAGCTTCCACACAGGTTCATCAGTAAGACGGCTGGATGAATGACCAAGAGCATAGAGAAACGTAAGTGAGTTCGAATCCTCAGCAGCGATGTTACTCTGTATGCAAATGTTATCCTAATTTATTCTCCATTTCAACGAACAAAACGCACTTTACAATTTGTTATACAATTTGGATTATTTTGATGAGGCGAGATTTTAAATGTTTGATTTAAATATCATCATTTTTTTAACGTTGAGCTATTTTAGAATTCCTTTAATAATTCGAATTTCATCGGATAATTATACCCAAAAAAGCATATTTTTTCTACTTTCACTTAAAAACACAAAGAATTAGAATGGGAAATTCAGGATCCATACATGTATGTAAGGGAAAAATTGCGCTCAGAAGACTAATAGTAAAAGTGCATGTATAAAAAATAACAGACACATTCAATTTATTTATCTTACAATTATACACGTCTCAAACTGCATATTATGTCTCTCAAACTACAAATATTCCCAATGATCATCAAGGCACCGAGTATAAAAAAATGAACTGTCACCTGAACGATATGTATACCAGTACCAGAGCAGCTCGAACGTCATCGAGAAGTGTTCAACACGTACTTGTAAGCGAGTATATCGCGAGAGGGTGGCTGTGTATTATTTCACACACTCGTATTTCACCGAAAAACACCCCGTAAAAAGTATAATGTGATGTGTATAAGGACAAAAACATATTGTTTAGAAATGGACACGAGCCAAAATTCAAAGCTGTGTACCACAGACATACAGTTGTATGTAAATGGCCGCTTAACAACTATTAAGGCATTAATGTAATGTGAAGAGGCCCGACATATTTCACAAGGTGGCGCGAATCTCATATTTTTCATATTAATCGGACATAATATATATATATATATATATATATATATATATATATATATATATATATATATATATATCCTAAATCTAATAACAATTTGTAGTTTTTTATTTAAAATATCTTAAGTTAGCCGAATAAAGTGTGTATAGGGGTACATGTATACAAATAATTATAATAAGCGTAATAACATTCTTAAACATCACGTTTAAATCTTCTGAAATTAACTCATCATTCATATGAAAATGTCAGAGGACATCTATTACCAGTCTAGCTGGGAAAATATGTCCGACTAGGACATCGATACCTATCTGCAGGACTTAGAATACTACGTAATGTATGTCCACTGGACGTTAAATCCCAGGAAATTATGTCCTAGGGCATGCGTTCCTAGGAATGGAAGAGCCAGGACATGCATTCCCAGGACTTAGTGTCCGCAGGACATTAATTTCTAGGAATACATGTCCTACGGACATGCATTACGGCGGACATCCATTCCCTTCACACCGGCTTAAGCGTCTGTCCCGCCTACTAAAAGCTGTAAGGGGGTAATTAACTATGGTGCGCGCTCGGCTGACTGCAATTTAGCGTGAACCCCCAGGGAGTTAGGTCGATCTAAATCTAAATCTCTGGATCGATCTAAATCTCTGAGAATGCACCCTAA